CGAAGCCTTGGCAAGTTTCATTTGTTCATGTTGTATACAGAGGTGGGTTGTTTCCAGTTTGGCCCGGATCGGCTGAACCAGTAGTGGTGGCGGTGGAAGGCTCCACCCACCCACCCGGTGCGTGCGAGCATGAGTGAACCGGTAGTGCTGGGATTTGAAATCCACCTCTGGTTGTATAACATCTTTGTCAATATCATTCTTATACACTGTCAGTTTTAAATCCATATCCTCTTCTATCTCTTTATTTAAGCACATTTTTATTTTATCACACAATCTAAAGCAGGGTTGTTAAACTCATATCATCCTGGCGTCATCACGTGAAATATCAGGACTTTTTTCCCCTTCACTAAACCAGGCATGGGCGTGGCCAGCATGTGATGCATCTGGCGAGTGGACCGGGAGTTTGACAACCCTAGTATAAAGAGTAAGTTTTAAGTATGTTGTTACCAAAAACCTTTAAATTATTTCAGTTAAAATATTTTCTCCATTGTTTTATTGAAAGTTCTTCTTTAATTATAATCTTTAGTTCTTTCTGAATGTAACTAGACTTCAAGGTCTCCTTTTATATGTCTTTCTTTGATCAGAACATTTCCCAGAAAGAGATTTCTTACACTTAAATTCAGTTCTTCATATATTTTAACAGAATTTTAAACAAACAATAAATATTCTTAGAGCAGTTTCAAAGTTTTGTTTTTAATCAACCTAGTTCCCAAGTCCATAAAACATTTCCAAAATCAACATACTAATTGTCCTTTCACTACTTCTTTCTAAATAAAATAAATAGTTAAAAATACATAAACCTTGTGCTGTGGGTTATTAAAAAAATTACCAAGTACTAAGAGTTATCCTTCTCGGGGTTCTTTTTGTCCAAAAGGCAATTTATAAGCCGTGTGTGAGTGTGTGTGTGTGTGTGTTCCAGCATAACTCTGGAACGCCTCGAGCAATTTCAACCAAACTTGGTACACAGATTATTTATTCTCTGGGGGGGAAAAACTGTGGGGGTAAGACCTCTAACACCTCTCGAGGTGTGTGTTCTGTTAAGATACAGCCTGTTGTGCTTTAAAATGGCTTCTACAGTACTGCGGTAAAATGGCTTCTACTGTACGGTGCAGTGGAATTGCCATGGTAACAGCTTCACAGTATTCCACAAAGGGGTTTTGGTAAGGGGGGAAATCCAACATTAGAAATTCTGTTTGGTCTGTACATTTTCCTTCTACAAATAAATATCTGGGCAACGACGGGTTATTGGCTAGTTTCCAATAAAAGTGATTAAGAGGAGATGGCTGAACCCAGTGTCCTTATGAAAGATTCTGACTGCAATTTGGGCAAAACAGTTTCTCACAACTCCCAGAGCTCTAAAGCCTACTGGAGAAGCCTAGTTTATGATCCCATCATGGGAAACATCTGTAAGGAGCCGTCTGGGCAACCCCAAGTCCTGTCCTTCTATGGCGAGGTATTCAGGGAGCCAGTTTTAGGTGTCTTATTCCCACGGCATTCAATTTACCTGCATGTTTCTCTTCACAAACCCTCTTCTCATTTTCCTACTACTTTTTTTTTGTATTTTAAAATATTTTAAATAGGACCGAAAGGCTAGGTTTAATAAGTAGCATGTAGATAAATAAATGGGATATGGGGGAGGCAGGGCTAACGGTGCTCCAAGATCACTGTTGATATCTTTGCCCCTGGATGGTCCTTTTGGACCTAAACCATCCTGTAGAGATGGTGATAGAGAAGGGCACATCCTGCAAAGTCCCAGGTAGATCCAGGAGAAGCCCTTTTTCCCGGCGACTGAGAAACATCCATTAAAGATGCTGAAAGTTGGGACAGCTCCAGAATGGAAGGAAAGCTGGAGACAAAGTGTGTCGAATTGGTGAAATAATTTTTATTATTAGAGAAGAGAATACCCTAAAAGATCAAAAGTAAAGTTAAAATTGAAGACAGAAGAGGTCAAGCAGCGAGATTAAGCCTGAGTCAAACATAGTGTATTATTTTTCCTTAATCCCCTTATTGCTGAAATTTTTATAAATGTTCATTTTTTAAATTGGATTGGGTTTTTTTCCTTTTATTTTTCTTATTTTAATACTTATTGCTTAATACTTTCTTTCTTTTTCTTTTTTCAATGCTCTATTGCATTTTTTTTTTAAAAAATCTTTTTTTCCTTAAGTTTGGACTATAAAGAGGGAAGTAAAAATAGAGGAAAAGAAGTTACACTGCCACTTAAAGGCTTGGAAACATTGTTTTTCTTTTCTTTCTTTGAGCATTTGATAATCTTGTGCAAAGTAAGAGCTGGTGTTACATTTCAAGGATTCTGAGTTTGTTTATTGAAAATGATAGTAGGATGAGCACAGATTGTTTATACAGGTGCTCCTCTGGGATACTATCAGTAGTTGGATTGGAGTGAAAAGAAAGCTTGGAGGTGAAAGGAAGAAGATTGCAGTGAACTTGTTTGGAACGTAATGAAAAAGCCTTGGATTCTATGTAGTGGCAGTGTTTTCTATCTGGAGGAAAAGATCAATGCAGATGATGTTGCAGCACGAAAAAGAAAAGGAAGTGACATTGCAGATGATTATGCAAGAAATTCAAAAAATACAAAGAACAGAGAACATTGAAAAAAGAACAGAGAATATTGAACAAAGAACAGGAAAAACAGATGAAAAAATTGAGAATATCCACCAAACGATGATGAAATATGA